GGCCGATGATAGTGATTCGTTATTACCTCCACTTGATCTTGCTACCATGCAAACATAAGGTACATTTTGAATGCATTAGTAATAATAGAAAGTTAGTGATTTGAAAAAGAAGGATATTACATTTCACCTACTTTCTATGAAACGCCCAAGAAAAGAAATTGTCAAGATGATTCACGTAAATTTACCAGAGTGACAAATGCCTAAACTCATAATTCGCGAGTTGTCCATACAACCAACTAGTGAATTATCCACAAATTATACTATGACATTGATATTGCGGAAAAAAACGTGGATCGAAGTTAATTTGTTTTTATTTTCGTTTCGGGAAAGCTCTATCAGAGCGATTCGCAAAGCAATCCCCCATCAAAGCTGAACGAAGTTAAGGAAACACTTCCGGAAAATGTGAAAAGAGGTATGCTACGCAAGTGAACAGATACGGCCAGAAAAGTTTACGACATCTTTAAAATGATGAGCATTACTGCGTTACAGCCACGTGTCACTTTGGCTTCCACGAAAATTCTCAAGCGTAACCAACAAAATCACCGGCACGTGACAATTTGGCCGGCATTACGACATTAAGTGTGACGTTATGAAATTAATTTGTGACAAATAGCGTGACAAATAGGATTTCACATATCGAAAAATTTCAAAGTCACGTTGTACTCGTGATATTTAACATGTACAGTACATGCATAAATAAAAAATGATAGCCGAAAGGCGCTTCGCCACATTCGCCATATATGTATATTCATTTTACATTATAATCACCATTTCAAGTTTTATCCACTTCTGAAAGTAACTTGCTTCTTTGTTCGATAATTAAAAAATAATCCGAGTTTCATTCATAAATGAAAAATCCATAAATTTTTTAAAAACACAATCGCAAATTTCGAGTAAATGTGATTTCTCATACACAAGCGAATCATGCGCAAAACCGGTTTTGTCTCCATTAAAGTTTTGATTTAAATTACGATTTAAGGATTTACGGGATAGCTTATAGTACACGGGATGCAAAGCATATTATTGTTAAATGAAATGCATCTCAGAATTCCATTTCCCTACCTTAGTGGTTTCTTCTCCATTTTAAGTTTTTCCGCGTTCAAAATTAATATAACCCATATAACCCTTTAGGGTTGCCCATTCTGTCCAACTAAATCACTTACAATGAAAATTCAAAAGTTAACTCTTTGAATTAAGTTTTTCCGCGTTCAAAATTCATATAACCCATATAACCCTTTAGGGTTGCCCATTTGGGCCAACTAAATCACTTACAATGAAAATTCAAAAAGTTAACTCTTTGAAAATTCTATAAAATGTCGACCATTTCTTACTGTCAAATTCCATCGATTAATGCACTATGGGAAAAGTCAGAGAAATTGTCAGGGTTGTAGGAATTTTCCTTGTTCCTTTGCAATTAGCAGCGGCAATTTATTTGGCTGCCACTATAAAAAATTCTTCATGGCCGGAGCGCGGGCAAGAAATGTCAAGTATTACCGGCTTACCAATATGGTTTGTTGCTCCCTGTCCTCACCGGTCACCTGGGAGCGAAAGAACCACGTCGGAATTTGCTTCAGCTATTGTCACTGGTGTGGCAAGCTTTGCATCTATCTTTATTAAAATAATGGGCATATTGAATATAAAATCCATCTTGCAAAATTTATTTGATTTAATACCAGGCAAAAAAGAGCAAAGTTTGCTAAGTTCTCGCTACCAACGCTATCATGTTATTGATGATAATTCTAAAGAAAAACGTCCCAGCTTGAAAATCCCTGGTGTCCATCAGACGTTAATTCATTTTAACACCATCATTACCGCTTACGTCTCCACCACATTTATAGCCCTGATTGCAGGATTGATCTTTGGCGTAGGAAAAGTGTGGGGATTTTTTGGAATATTTCATAATATTATGGAGGTTTTCATCGTGGCCGCGTTATGCAATAGGTCAAATAAGAGATACATTGTCAGCATTTTGATAATATTGGTGTATTCGGTGGTTGTCACAGGAGCATTAAGTCAGTTGCCATGGTATTGGGATATGATGTTCTTCAAGTTTCAAGGCAAGTTCTTTTTTGTTTTACGTGTCCCAAACAGTTATATCGGCACCTTGGTGAGGTTCTAGTGTTTTCTGTGAGTAATGCACGTAAATGGCGTATATCGGGAAAGCGATAAAGTATGACGACTGGAATATAATCGTCCTAAAAGGGTGTTACAAAAGTAAAAATATTAGGCAAGAAATAAATAAAGCACTCTCACAAAAAATACATACGATGATTCGGAATCATTGCCAACTACACTAACTACATTCCCAATGAGATGAACCAAAGAGGCAAAGACCAAGTATCCTACGTTCTCTAGACGGGTGAATTCACTTGTACTTTCAAATGCCACAATGAAGAAGAGGACCGGCAGAATAAAATCAAGGATCAAACCTATTACAAGGGTAATAATAATAATATTAATAATTCAGCGACTCAGATTAACGATTAGATAGTTTGCGACACGTAAAACAAAAAAGAACTTGCCTTGAAACTTGAAGAACATCATATCCCAATACCATGGCAACTGACTTAATGCTCCTGTGACAACCACCGAATACACCAATATTATCAAAATGCTGACAATGTATCTCTTATTTGACCTATTGCATAACGCGGCCACGATGAAAACCTCCATAATATTATGAAATATTCCAAAAAATCCCCACACTTTTCCTACGCCAAAGATCAATCCTGCAATCAGGGCTATAAATGTGGTGGAGACGTAAGCGGTAATGATGGTGTTAAAATGAATTAACGTCTGATGGACACCAGGGATTTTCAAGCTGGGACGTTTTTCTTTAGAATTATCATCAATAACATGATAGCGTTGGTAGCGAGAACTTAGCAAACTTTGCTCTTTTTTGCCTGGTATTAAATCAAATAAATTTTGCAAGATGGATTTTATATTCAATATGCCCATTATTTTAATAAAGATAGATGCAAAGCTTGCCACACCAGTGACAATAGCTGAAGCAAATTCCGACGTGGTTCTTTCGCTCCCAGGTGACCGGTGAGGACAGGGAGCAACAAACCATATTGGTAAGCCGGTAATACTTGACATTTCTTGCCCGCGCTCCGGCCATGAAGAATTTTTTATAGTGGCAGCCAAATAAATTGCCGCTGCTAATTGCAAAGGAACAAGGAAAATTCCTACAACCCTGACAATTTCTCTGACTTTTCCCATAGTGCATTAATCGATGGAATTTGACAGTAAGAAATGGTCGACATTTTATAGAATTTTCAAAGAGTTAACTTTTTGAATTTTCATTGTAAGTGATTTAGTTGGCCCAAATGGGCAACCCTAAAGGGTTATATGGGTTATATGAATTTTGAACGCGGAAAAACTTAATTCAAAGAGTTAACTTTTGAATTTTCATTGTAAGTGATTTAGTTGGACAGAATGGGCAACCCTAAAGGGTTATATGGGTTATATTAATTTTGAACGCGGAAAAACTTAAAATGGAGAAGAAACCACTAAGGTAGGGAAATGGAATTCTGAGATGCATTTCATTTAACAATAATATGCTTTGCATCCCGTGTACTATAAGCTATCCCGTAAATCCTTAAATCGTAATTTAAATCAAAACTTTAATGGAGACAAAACCGGTTTTGCGCATGATTCGCTTGTGTATGAGAAATCACATTTACTCGAAATTTGCGATTGTGTTTTTAAAAAATTTATGGATTTTTCATTTATGAATGAAACTCGGATTATTTTTTAATTATCGAACAAAGAAGCAAGTTACTTTCAGAAGTGGATAAAACTTGAAATGGTGATTATAATGTAAAATGAATATACATATATGGCGAATGTGGCGAAGCGCCTTTCGGCTATCATTTTTTATTTATGCATGTACTGTACATGTTAAATATCACGAGTACAACGTGACTTTGAAATTTTTCGATATGTGAAATCCTATTTGTCACGCTATTTGTCACAAATTAATTTCATAACGTCACACTTAATGTCGTAATGCCGGCCAAATTGTCACGTGCCGGTGATTTTGTTGGTTACGCTTGAGAATTTTCGTGGAAGCCAAAGTGACACGTGGCTGTAACGCAGTAATGCTCATCATTTTAAAGATGTCGTAAACTTTTCTGGCCGTATCTGTTCACTTGCGTAGCATACCTCTTTTCACATTTTCCGGAAGTGTTTCCTTAACTTCGTTCAGCTTTGATGGGGGATTGCTTTGCGAATCGCTCTGATAGAGCTTTCCCGAAACGAAAATAAAAACAAATTAACTTCGATCCACGTTTTTTTCCGCAATATCAATGTCATAGTATAATTTGTGGATAATTCACTAGTTGGTTGTATGGACAACTCGCGAATTATGAGTTTAGGCATTTGTCACTCTGGTAAATTTACGTGAATCATCTTGACAATTTCTTTTCTTGGGCGTTTCATAGAAAGTAGGTGAAATGTAATATCCTTCTTTTTCAAATCACTAACTTTCTATTATTACTAATGCATTCAAAATGTACCTTATGTTTGCATGGTAGCAAGATCAAGTGGAGGTAATAACGAATCACTATCATCGGCC